CAACAAAGGAAAGGAGAGCAAATAGTATGCTTCCATCTGCATTCAGTTTCCATAGTTTTTTCTCTGATTGTGGATAGCTTTTTCCATCATGAGTCTTTTGGAGTTGTCTTAGACCCTTGCATTGCTGAGAAGAGCTAAGTCTGTCAAAGTCAGTCATCACACAATGTGGCTGTTACTGTGTACAATGTTCTCCTGATTCTTTTCATTTCACTCAACATCAGTTCATATAAGTCTTTCCAGGTGTTTCTGAAGTCTGCCTCCTCATCATTTCTTATAGCACAATAGTGTTCCATTACATTCATATACCACAACTTGTTCAGCCATTCCCCAATTGATGGGCATCCCCTCAATTTCCAATTCTTTGTCACCATAGAAAGAGCTGCTATAAATATTTTTGTACATGTGGGCCTTTTCAGTATTGCTGGGTCAATATTATCCTCATTTTAAAGGTGAGGAAACTGAGGCAAATAGAAGTAACTTAACACTTACCTACCCTAAATGGGAACTGAGGCTAAAGTGATATTTACCCATTAACCATTCCTTAAGCATCTGGTAGGACAGGCTGTTGGCCATTGGTTGTAGTTGTTGAGAGCAGCAGTAAAACAAGGGCAGACCCATAGAGCAAGCCTGAATTTTTTAACAGAGAAAAATCAATTGGTCTGTATGACCAGAGACTTATACTCAGTGATATACAGCTAATATCTTGTAAACTTATTGAAGGCAGAACCTGTTTTTCACTTTGTATCCCCAGGGCTCCATCTGATGCTTGGCACATAGTAGTTGCATAACAATAAATGTTTATTGGATTGGTTTATATTTCAGTGGACTGATTATACTAATAAAGCATTACTTCCAGAAGAGTTAATCAACCTGCATTTTACTAAGCTCTTACTATGTGCCAGGCACTGTGCTAGACGCTAGGGATACAAACACGGAAGTGACAGATACAAACATTTGGAGGGTATCTTTTACAGTACTTCTTGTAGGACATTTAAAAGTTGTTTCATGTGCGAATTCTTCTTTGGGAATATGCTACAGCTTAGTTATGTCCACACTATCTCTCCACTTCCCTTTGACCCACCCAGTTTTGATTCTTTGGAGATTGTGGTATTCCCTGAGTCACAGCCAGACAGCATCACTGGAAGAATGATAGTGTTAAAAAGATGGATTCTTCTATCCGGGAACAACCTTGGTTCATTGAAAGCTCTGAGCAATTTCCTAAATATAACCCAGTTGAATTCTCTTCCTTCTGTTCTGTTTTGGGTCCAGATCTATCCAATATATATGTACTACTGCACAAACTCAATGAATTTCTCATGTTAACTGTGTGTCATAACTGGATGGATAATAGGCCTTTTTACTTCTGTTGGACTGGTTTGAATTGTTATGTTGATCTCTTTTGAGTAGTCAAGGATCCCAGGGTAGGGTCCTTGTAGTATTCTAGGCTTTGCAGTCAACATCAAAAGGGAACATTTGAAAAACACACATCACCTAAAGAGAATCCCTCTTCTATGATAGTGGCAAACACCTTTGGCAGGCATATGTTTCACAGCTTTGTGAAACTTTGATAACGATAATCAGAAGATCATTGTACAAAAATATGTCTGTGATTGCTTCTGCCAAGGAATTTTGTGTGATCTGAACATAGATGTAGGTGACCATTGTTGGAGGAGACCCCTTAAGGCTAAATTTTGCCCTACCGAATTAACTACATTGGAGTAATCAGAAAGCAGTAAACACAACAGGTTTTTCCATTGTCTAAATCTTTCCATCAGTTAAGTTACCGGGAAGATCTGATCTGCTGTAGAGAACTGTCTACACAAGCAAATACCACCTACTTCTTAGGGTTGAGTGAGAATTAATGAAATAAGGTATTTAAAGTATACTGTAGAACTTATAGCAGTATATAAAAGTGACCTATCATCGTCAACATTATCATTACGTTATCATTCAAGGATGTTCTCTATATATATCAATTATTCTTGTAAAAGTTATGAAGTAGTATAAATGATAAAGTAGTCACATGGGTCAGTAGTTGCTGATGTCCTTTCTCCATCATGCTTTTTACTGTAATAATACCATCTACATTTTTTAAGAATTATGTGATATATTCATATTTTTTATATTTTGGAAATCAATACTTTCAAAATTATATCACCTCCAGTACAAATATCTTCTTTTTATGCTTAGTCTTGTTCAGCTATTCCCAGTTTCATTTTCTTGACATCACTTCCATATCTTGTGCAATACATTGGGAAACGAGTTTTTTTGAATCTAAATGTGGAGACATCAGTAACAAAAATAGGTTGTTATAGAAATATTGGCAGGTCTGTTCCATTTTTTCATCCATTCTTTGTTCTTCCAAATTATTCATAAACATTCTTGGGATTATGTGGCTTAATGGAATATTGTGAGACTTTATACGGACTCATTTTTACTTTGGTGACCCCTTGCTCTACTGTCTTGGGTTTGTTCTACCTCCGTGATATTTTGCAAATGAATTTTGTAAATAAGATCAGTTTTGCTTTTGTAATTGTAGCATCTGCTTGACAAGAAGTGTAAGTGTTTTCTGACAGAGGTGGTTTCTGGGCATTGTGCGCCTCCTTATTTTGGTCATAGCTATAAAATAGTTAAACTTCTCTAGGAAATGGTGACAACTAAAGTCAGTGTCTTTGCTTATATCCATTTCCCACTTTTCATTGCATCAGAAATGTTGTAATTAGTGACCTTCCTTCTTTTTTCTTCTAGATTAGTTTTGATTTTTATCTTTGTTCTAACTAGCCAACAGTCCTAGCACACAGATATGCAAAAATATGCAAAATAGAAAGTGACTTCCACATTGGTAATTAGATATTTCCTATCTGTTATGATATAGTCACTTTGCAACATTATTTGGTGCTCACCATGTCCAACAGCTTTCAGTCTGCCTTGTAAACAACTGTCTATGGCATAGAGTTATGAGTATTTCAATAACTTCTTTCCTTGTTTATTTCTTAATCTCAAGCCATATTTTCCAGCATATGTCCCATCACACTTTATCCCCTCTGCCCATTTTCACATTAAGCTCCTTGAACATCAATGTATATGCTGACTTTGTTTGGAAGATCTTGTCAAGTTCTTCACAGAATTTCATTACCTTTTCATCCTCTGCATTTGATGTTGCCACATAATCTATTACATTCATGCTGGTCTTTTTGCTCATAATGAGAATGTCAGTATTGACATAGTTCAGTTACTCCATTGAATGATGAATGAATGAATAAATGAATGAACCAGAATTTATTAAACACTAATGCCAAGACTTCTGCTAAACTCTGAGGATACCGAAAGAAAAACAAGACAGTCACTTTCTGAGAAGCTCACGTTCTAACAGGGCAGAGGTTCTTCAACCATTATTGTGTCATGAAACCTTTTTGGAAAGGTTGTCTGATGAAGCCTATGGACCTTTTCTCAGAATAGTGTTTCTAGATGCATAAAATAAAATACATAGGATTTTAAATGAAACTAAATATATTGAAATAAAGTTAGAATTTTTTTAAATTCATAGACCCCAGGTCAAGAACTCCTGTAATAGGGGCAAATAACATTCATAAAAGAGTTTAGATGGAGGGGCAGATAGAACAGCCCTGTGGTCCTTAGGGTACAGTGGCAAGACTACTAATAATGTATTTTCTTTAGTGTCATTTCCATTGATAGCTACATCCATTTCCAATTTTGAATCATTTGATCATTTCAGAGACTCCAGTGGCAAGAACTTTCTTTTTCAGGTCTTCAGTTGCTATGACTACTGAGGGAGGCAATGGCTGCAACACCTGCAGAAGCAGTTGTGGGATCAGGTCTCCATAGGAGTGCTCCCTCAGATAATGGCTGTGAAAGCTTAGGAGCAGAGCTGTTGGCCTGGGGGGATGCTATTCTTCCAGTTTTCAGGTGTAGAGTCTGGGCTGTATCGTCTGTAGGGGAAGTGGTGATCTAAGTGATGGGGGTGGTTTGGCCCAACCATCCAGAGTGATTTGTTAACTTGTTGGGGCTTGAACAAGGAATTCATGCTCTAATAACCAGCATTTCATATGTATGTATGATTAGATATGCACATATGTAGCATATTCAGCCTTCTGCCCAATATTTTTCTCTTCAACCACAGACACTGAAAGAGTAGCAGAAGACCACAGAAAACTGAACCTTTTAAAAAAGTTTTCTTTGTTTTAAGGGTTACTTTGACCAAATAATTCATTGCCTTGTAGCCAACCTACTAGTAAGGATCTTCTCTGTAATTACATAGGCTGGCTCTCAGACAGCAAATATAGTCTATTATGGGAACCATACTTGAAGCACTTCCAGCTTGACAGAATTTCCTGGCACTTAAATTTTGCTGGCATAGCCTTTGGGGTCATTTGAGCATTTTAAGGAGACATCAGGAAGAGAATTTTTGTAGGGAGTTACGTACCTAATTAAATTTTTTATTTATTTTTTTATTAAGTCATGAGGTGGGAAAAATATTTCTGGGGAAAAAAAGTTCATTTATCTCAAGGAGTAAAGATTTTATTTAGAGAGTATTTTATTTACCTCGGGGGCTAGAGCTAAGTAGCACAGTGGATGTGCCAGGCCTGGAGTCAGGAAAATCATCTTTCTGAGTTTAAATGTGGCCTCAGACACTGACTAGCTGAGTGACCTTGGGCAAGCCACTGAACCCTGTTTGCCTCCGTTCCTCAAATGTAAAATGAGCTGGAGAAGGAAATGGCAAACCACTCCAATATCTTTGCCAAGAAAACTCCAAATGGGGTCACTAAGTCAGACAAAAACCAAAAACAACTGAACTGAACTCTATTGAACTTATTCACCTCGAATAATTAGAAAATATAATGGGAGTCTTTTGGAAATTTGGTCTTTTTAAAAATTTGTTTTTGCATATCTCACACCTACCAGAGTGCCTTGTATATAGTAGGCACTTAGTAAATGTCTGTTAAATTGGATTAGCTTTAATACTGTCTTTTTCCTTTCAGGTATACTGTTCCAGTTACAGCTGATACTTCTGTGCTATATCTATATGTTCTGTGCAACATTAAATACTACCCAGGAAAAATGATAAAATTTTTCCTTATGGTGAATAAGCAAGGACAGACCAGACTTTCTAGATACTATGAACATGTGGAAATCAATAAAAGAACCATTCTGGAAGCAGATGTCATCAAAACATGCTTATCACGGTCCAAAGAACAAGTAAGTTTCTGTGGTTCTCTTTTATCTCAATAAGGCAGCTTTGGCAGACATATTATTATGGGATTTTGAAGGACATAATTTTCTTTAATCTATCTTTTTTTTCTTCTCAGTAGGTACTGCTTTCCTACCTCAAAAAAAATGCCAACTACCAGAAATAGTTTGAGCTCCAAACATAGCTCCTTTCTCTACCAACTCCTTGCATGGTCCATATACAGAAAACAATGCACTCACTGGAAACGGCGACTCAAATGCCTTCCTTCTACCCCAAAATGTTAATAGATGTATTACCCTTTTTTGGGTTAATACAGAAATCATTCCTTATGAGTCTTGTTAGTTCCCTGAGGACACAGTTTTTTATGAAGCCAACAAACAGTTTTCAAATGACTATAGTGGAAGTGAAATCCCTTTGGTCCATTTTGTGCTTGTTACATGACATTCTCTTGGTTTATATTCTCGTTGTTATTTGCCCACCTTTATGGTGAATGGGTCTCTAAAATTAAAACAAAACTAGAAGATTTCATATAACTTCTGCTACTGCCAAAACATTCATTAGAACTTGGGATTTCTTTTATTTCTAAGTGAATAAAAGTGATTAAAAACTCATGAGTAGATAACCCTACCTACCCTTCAAGAGTGAGGGTTCATGGGTTAGTAGCTTTGATCCAGAAAGTACTTTAGAGGTTATCTAGCCTACTCCATCATTTTACAGATGATGAAACTGAGACCCAGAGTGGTTAAGGGACTTGCCCAAGGTCACTCAGGTAGGAATTGAATAGCAGATCTGGGATTAAGATTCAGGTCCTCTTGCTCTAGGTTCAATATTCTCTACTAGACAATGATGCCATATGTAAAAAAAAAAATCAAACTCATACCTAATTCTCTATTTATATATGCAAAGTAAAGTGAAATGAAGAATTTAGACAATTCTCTGATAGAGTCAGGCTCCCAGCTCCTTTTTTTTTTTTTTTTTCGGAAATATCTGGAAAATTGAGGCATAAACAGGAAGCTTCTTTAGGTTATCTTTGCCAATGCTACAGTTCCCCATTTTATTCTTAAGCAAATATAGACTGAGAATATGAGCTATTACTGAGATGAATATAAAAAAATTAATTTGTATAAGTATTCACATCTCGCATATTGAAACTCCGTTTCCCTTAGTTGGCATCTAAGTTTATTTTCCAGCCCTACCATATCAGAAGTCCTCTCCAAGTCATTACTGTGACTTGCCCATGGTACATCCGATTTCACGTTTTCAGAAATACCTAATTGGAAGAAAACAGGGTTAATTGTTCAAAGGCTATTTTAAGAGCCATAGAAATATAAGTGAACATAAACAGACTAGAAGAAGCAGTTGTAGTTAAACCTCTTTATAGAAAGCCAGCATTCAGCAAATTACAGCATTATTTTCAAACTGGCCTTTAGAATGTGAGCTCAGGAATGTGTGGCTGTGCAATTTTTGAAGCATTCAAAATTATTTTAAACATTATCTTGCATCTTGGAAACCTGGTGAGTTTTTTTGGCATGGGTGAGTGCCAAGTTTCTGAAGTGACCTCTATTCTATCTGCAGAGATTCTCTGAGGCTTTTTATGCCAGTAACTCCTTAGGGATTTTAGAAAGATGTTTGCTTCTCACAAGTGAGTTGTCTTTATTTGAAGAACCCAGCTGTGTGTAGAGGTGGTTCTGGCTCTACCATCAGAGAACTAAGCGTATCACCTTTTTTCTGATTCAGAAAACCAGAAGCAAATGTCCATTCTCCCAGCCCCCATCCCAAAACTATTCAGATGAATCTCCAGCTACAGACTTTTCATAATGAAAACTTGCAGTTTTATTCCACAGGTGCATCTAGCCTCTTGAGAATAATACATCATTTTACTGCTAAGAGCCAGAAAGTGCTTTCTCAGACTGGATATGGTCAAACATACCCTAAATTCCAAAGAAAGAGTACTGGGATCCTTACAGCTGCCTCTCCCTTGGATGTCTGTCATCATAGTTTCTCCTGCTTGTCTCCTTACAGTGGCTTTAGTAGACAAGCAAATAAAAGGAGAGGTATTTTTTCATATGATAGTGATGGGAGAGTAGTTATTTATTCATATGAAGTTATGTTTACAGTAGGAGATTTTGTCTAGCATCTGCCCACAAAAGCCATCTTTAAATAATTTATAGAAGGGATAAATACCTATCTCTTTTATCTATCTGGAAAAAAATCAAGATTTCTGCTTGATGTATAAATTTCACATGTGGAGCTCTTTGATGACTTATAAGCACTTTCTGAAACTTTAAATTCTTAGTTCTTTTCCATGAATCTTGGGGGAAACATAAAGAATAAAAAAACTTTCCCTTCCTTGTTAGATTAGTCATTTTCACATTGGAGTCAGCATGAGCAAAGCTGTCACTCATGTACAGATTATTCATTAAATATATCTTCTGTGTTCCCCATGGAGGCAAGCCAAGAAACAAGGGGGAAAAAGCCTCTATGGATGGGTCCCTGTGGAGATAGATTCACTTTTCTTTCCCCTAGACCACTTACTTACCTCCCCCTGGAAAGTGTCCAAAGTAGTCCTTGAAGGTTGCAAAGAGAAGGGTGAAACAAAGGTTGGCTCATCCTTGGAATGTTCTGTATTTCTGGGAGTGTATTGACAGACACTCACAAATTAAGTGGGAAATAGGCACATTCTTGTGAAGAAATCTCTCAACTTGGGATCTGATATTTAAATGTGTTTCTACCTAGTGCTCTTTTATCGAGTATAAGGATTTTAAACTCATATACCGGCAGTATGCAGCTCTTTTCATCGTGGTTGGAATCAATGAAACTGAGGTAAGAAAATAGAAAGGCCTATGAAAAATGCAAGAGAATTTGGAGTATGAAGCCTGTTTTTGCTAAACTGGCATTTCTCTTTCCTAATTTCCACTGAAGTTTCTTATGATTATTTAAAGACTCCATTTGTGTGAGAAAACAAAAGGTATGTGGAGGAAGATAACTGAAATATCATCTGCATTAGGTGATGGGCAGCTTACGGTGTTCTCTTTAAGCCTAGATATGTGGCGAAGCCTTAAGCAACTAAGCATGCTCAAGAAAGCAGAGTCACATTCCTGTCTTGTTTTGACTTTTTTACCCTAAATGGCATCAATCCCCTTCCCTGATTTTGGGTTCAAGATAGGGTTGGGAGAGGGAGAGAGCAGGCATCTAGAAAGTATTATTTTCAGTCAGTTTGCTGCAACTGTGAGGGTTGACTTACAGGTTATACAGATTATCCTCCAGGTGAGTTATCTGAAGCACCAAAATCAAAGAGTTCAAAGTGAGCTCAGCACTCCTCACTCTCATGTTCTAATCATTAGACTCTGAGTCCTGCCTGTATTAGAGTACTGAGAAGAAATGACTTTAGAATGAGTCTCTCACACACACACACACACACACACACACACACACACACACACACACACAC